TATATATATATATATAATACTTTATCAAAGTATGCGGCCATTCCAAAAAAAAATTCCAAAGATTTCAAGTCTAATAGATGGCACAACATAAAAAATAAAAAATTAAACGAAATTTATAGAAATTTTTATCCTGATTATAATATTTGTTATGAAGCGTTACATCATACAAGCTCTCAATGGGAATGATAAAATCGTGCTTGTAGCCATATGACTTGAAATCTATGGAGTACATTGTCTTTGAAACGGTAAATAAAATGGTAATAAAAGGCTACACTTTGAAACTTATACTTATATTTATAATCTACTCGTAATTTTCTTTGGTTTTATCACAAAATTAATTGAAAAATCGATTGTAGAAAAATTGGGGAACATCGCCAATCGCAATTTGACCGCACTCTTTAAGAAATAAGTAGCCGCTTTTTAGTCGCGTGAGTATTGATTAAGATTTTATAATATTTGATTCAGTTTTCCAATGAATGCTCATTATCATATTATCACTCATTCTTTGGAATTTTCGGTTTCTTCCAAAATTCCAAGTACATGAATAATATGTTTAGGTATCTCTATCTACTTTTTAATCTCCTCAGGATGTAATTACAAACGGCATCAAGGATCGTGAAACGACTAGTGTAACGGTACTAAAATTGATTTGAGCGAAAGTTCATGGAATTAGTTAGCACGACTCTCTGGCGATGAGTCAGATTTTGACAGTGCCCGTTAATCGAGTGTGACTTATCGTGTGCGTACGTCAGCATATAATGCGGTAAACGTGCCTTCAAAAAAAAGCCAGCAGTTAATAAAGCTTTGCTTGAACGGTGCCGGCGAAATATTGTTGTTACGCGATGCCGGTAAATTCACGTGGCTTCATTTATTTCCGTCCCTTCCCACGGCCAATTATGTATATATTCCGATTCTCGTGAGGTATATAAACGTTTTGAAACCGTAAATTCTTAATATATTTTCGCCGAAGCCTAAATCTACAGAGATACATTCTTCTTGGGTAATATTTTTTGAAATTTAAAATTTTTTTTTTTCAAATTCTTAAGTACTTGAAACGCAATAATTTTATTTGGAATAAATTAATTAATATCAATATATAATGAAAGAACTATACTACATTAACGAAAAAAATCTATTGCATTTAAAAAATAATATTATACGAAAAAGACATTCATTGATAAAAATAAAGCTATTAAAGTTAAGAAGTCAAGGAAAGAAGATGAACATTTTGACTGCTATTTGCATTCTTTATTTTCTCTTTATCGAAATTTTTATCATATAATTTTAATTCTTTACAAATGCTCAACATAAAAAAAAAACAGTTTTGCAAACAAAGCATAATGCTACTTTATTAAAATGTACGAACTGTCCACAGAAAAAGAATGAGAGAAATGTTATTTAAATTTTTGATACAACTGGATTTTACTCAGGTAAGATCGCTGTAAAAAATCGTCACCGCTGTCAGCTCAAATTTATTCAATAAACGACGTCACAATCTTTATAATCTGCCCCGTAAACACATGAAAAATGCATATAAACGATACATTTTCTGTCTGATCCAAGATAGATCCTTGGCAAATGTTCAATTTTCAAAGACGAAAATTTCGCTGAAGATTCTGTTCTCGATATCTATATCGACCTAAAACCTTCACTACGTTGCGATTAGAAAAACCGGTGGTCTCAGAAACCTTGACTCGAGAACCATTTCCATGAGAAAAAGGTGTCACTACCTGCAAGTTGTTCTATAGATACGATTCTTGCGAGAGATACGTCTTAACGAGAGTTAAGGCGAGACTATTGCTAGTTGTTCGTCTGTACAACAAAGAGGCACGTGTCTTTTCCTGTCTCTTTCAAGCTAAATTCACAAAAAAATTCCCAAATATTAATAATTAAAAAAAAAA